AAAAAAAAAAAAAAAAAAAAAAAAATGTTGTGGTCAGAAACCCCCGTGTGTTTGTTTTGTATTTTGTTTGTCTCTTCGTATTAACTTCTGGGTATTTCAATTCCTCTAAACTTTTAATCCTTTTGGAAAGATGCCAGCCTTTTCATTCTCTCTCTCATTTTTTTTTTTTTGTAAGTTGGAGAATATTTGAAAGTGTTGTTAGTTGAAAGCAACAAGAAAATGAAAGCATATCTTAAATTTATGTGGATGTTAATGGGTTGTGATGGGTGATTTGAGGCCAAAAACAAGAACATATAGATGGGCTAAAATCTATGAAGATATGTTTGCTTTCACTCTCACTCCCTTTTACCTTAAATCATTTACTCTCTTTTGTTTGTCAGCTTTTCATATCTATCATCTAAACCATACATACCATTCAACCCAAAACAAAAACAAAAAGATAAATAAATATGAATGGATTAAGTGTGAGCGTATAAAGTCACGTAGCACGGTGACCATATCAAAACCCACGTACCTACATTACAATAATGAATAAATAATTAAGAGGGAGTGTTTTCCACGTGGCAGTTGTGGGAAAAGTAGTGTTCTTTTTGAATATTGGGAGGGCTACTGGGGATGTTCAGGTCATCGTCGTCATCCTCTATTGTTTCTCAGTCAGCACTCTGTTTTTTATTTTTTAAATTAATTTTGGAAGAGAGAGAGAGAGAGAGAGAGAGAGCGAATGAGTATAAAAATATAATGCAAATCTTTTGCTTAGGGGGAAGGCAAAGTCCCCGCCCCCGAAGTTGGCGCCTTTGGACGGAACGGTGTTTCAGTGATGATGCAGAGAAAGTTAGAACTTTACTTACCATCCAACAGTGTCCGTACTGCTTTATTTATTTACTTTCACAATTACCAGCGTGAATAGAAATAAATAGATAAATAAAAGCATCGGTCTTTGGAAACGCCACAAACAGTTGTTCACTTTTATTCCATGAGTTTCGCCATCTTCTAAAATGTATGAGAAAACACAAAATAAATACATATATATATTGGGTGTGTGTTTCAAAAATGGAAAGGAGATGGTACTGTTGCGACGGCTGAGGGGAAGTGATGGCGTCAGGATGGGAACAAGGGGATGGGAACAAGGGGATGGGAACAAGGGGATGTAAGGGGAGACTGTAGGTAGGGGCAACACTCCTCACACTAACCAAAATATATTTTTTTATCAAATCAAAATCAACCTCTTCCATCCTACTTCTCTTCTCTTCTCTTCTCCTCTTGGGACCCAATCCCCCTCTTCTTTGCATTTAATTTCAGCTTCTCATCTCAGCAACTATAGCATAATAAATATGAAGGGAGACTGGAGAATCATTAAACCTACCTCTTAATCTAATACTAGAACCCAATGAAAAGCATCTGGGTTTTCCTGACCCCCTACCCTATCCAACTTTATCACTAATCATACTTTCCCCATAACCCTAATCCTAATTACTCTCCTCATCACATCTAACCATCAAATCAAATTCAAACCCCTCACCTGCGTTTGTCGTCTCCACAAAATTAGTCTTTAGGTGCCTCCATGGGCCCATTTCATTTCCAATTCTTCCATTCAATGGGCTCCTTCAATCAAATAACTAAGCCCAACGTGTGTGAAGCTACGGCAGGTGCGTGACTTTACAATAATGATTCTCGAACAAACAGCTTTTAAAACCAAAAAAACTGCCTTCTCCTACTCTTTAGAATTGGATTCTGTTTCAAAGAATATGGTATTTCATCGGCTCTCCAAGCATTGTAGAAAGAAGGGAATGAAATTAGAAGCAGAACATAACGAGTTTTGTAACACTTAATTTAATGCATTTGATGCAACACTTAATTTAATGCATTTGATGCGTATTTGATGTAACACTTAATTTAATGCATTTGATGCGTATTTGAATTACTTAATGAGTTAAGTAAAAGCTTCAAGTTCGGTTAAAATTAATGGGTGATAAAGCTTAAGTTTAAAGGGAAGGGAAGTGATTGCGAGTGGTGAGTGGGTAACATGGGGAGGGCCCAATCCAGTTGTATTATTCATTTAATCAAACGTTGCATAACCAAGAACGGGACTTTCATAGTGGAATCAATATATGGATATCCTTTCCCTTTTGTTGGGTTTAATTAATATCCATATATTTTCCATCTAAATATTTGGCTCCTTGTTCATATCATTTTCACATAAACCTCAATTTGGGTAATTAACTCCTAAAAAGATGCCATTTTTATTTCCTCTCATGAATCATTAAATTTGACAAAAATAAATAAATAAATAATTCCATTCTGCAAGTCCTGTTTCAAGACCGGAGTTGCTCACTTTCGTTACTCACTTTCGTTACTCACTTCACTCACTCTGCCCAATGGATTTCCCTCTCTGTCTCTGCTTCCTTCTTCTTCTTTCCTCTGCTTTCTCCATCATCTCCACGCGTGCTACTCTTCCTGGCACGTGGGAGCTTCTCGTTCCCAATGCTGGCATCGCCTCCATGCACACCGCCGTCACAAGGTTCAACACCGTCGTCCTCTTGGATCGGACCAACATCGGCCCAACTCGTAAAATGCTCCGCAAAGGCCATTGTCGCAACGATCGACACGACGCCGTTCTCAAGCATGATTGCTACGCTCATTCCGTCGTCCTCGACCTTCTAACCAGTCAAATCCGTCCTTTGACGATCCTCACCGACACATGGTGCTCCTCCGGCCAATTCCTCCCCGATGGCACTCTCTTGCACACCGGCGGCGATATTGACGGCCTCAGAAAGTTCCGGAAGTTTCAACCCTGCGAACCAAATGGTGCTTGTGACTGGATTGAGCTCTCCGAACCGGAATTAGCCGATGGGAGATGGTACGCTACGAATCAGATTTTACCGGATGGTTCTGTCATAATCGTCGGCGGCAGGGGAGCCAACACCGTCGAGTATTATCCTCCGAGGAAAAATGGGGCGGTGAATTTACCTTTCTTGGGTGACGTGGAGGACGGTCAGATGGATAATTTATACCCTTACGTTCATCTTCTTCCAAATGGGCATCTCTTCATCTTCGCTAATAACAGAGCAATTTTGTATGATCACGAGAGTGATCAAGTAGTGAGGGGTTATCCACCGTTGGATGGTGGGCCTAGGAACTACCCATCCGCTGGATCGTCGGTTATGCTCGCTCTTCAAGGTGATCATTCAAATGCTGTGGTAGTGATTTGCGGGGGGGCTCAATACGGTGCGTTTATTCAGAGAAGCACCGACACTCCGGCTCACGGAAGCTGTGGACGAATCGAAGCCACCGGTTTGAACCCAGTTTGGGAAATGGAGGATATGCCGTTTGGAAGAATCATGGGCGATATGGTGATGCTTCCCACCGGCGATGTGGTGGTTATTAATGGAGCACAAGCGGGTACTCAAGGGTTCGAACAGGCTTCGGACCCGTGTTTGCATCCGGTTCTGTATCGACCCGACCAACCGGCCGGGTTGCGGTTCATGACGTTGAACCCAGGAACCGTTCCGAGAATGTACCACTCTACCGCCAATCTGATTCCTGATGGAAGGATTTTGATTGCTGGTAGTAATCCTCATTACTTGTATAAATTCGAGGCAGAATTCCCGACGGAGTTGCGAATTGAAGCATTCTCGCCGGAATATTTATCGGCCGACAAAGCCAATATTCGACCCGTTATTGAGAAAATT